CCCCAAAACCCCAAAACCCCAAAACCCCAAAACCCCTTTCTAAAGAAATAAAATAGAAAAATTATTATTCCAACAATGAGCTCAAGATCAACTAGAGATCTTAGAAATATGATCTCCACAAACCAAAACTCCGACTCCAAGGAAGTTTACGGAGGAGAAGATTATGACGATGTTCCGAATATAGATGCTAATCCTAGTCATAAAATTGCTTTTCAAAATAAATTAAACACCAGTGCGCCTATCAGAGGATCAACTGGACACTTGAGAGCTCTCTCGAGTTATAATAAGAAATAAGTCTGATGCCTTAGAGCTTCCTATGATCAAAAATCCTAACAAAGAGACTATGGTGACTCTTGATCTCGAAAAGAAACTGAAAAAGTTGCAAAATTTGTCACAAAATGATAAAGAAATGATTGAAATTCAAAGAAAGAAACTGGCCCAACAGAAATTTGAAATCGAAAAGTTGTTAAAATAAGATAGAAGCCCTCAAACGTAACTATGAAGGTCTGTCAAATTGTACAAAGACTGAAAAGACTGACTACATCCGACTGAAAAGGGAGAATGAGCAGTTCCAACTGGAGATTGAGAAGTTATAAGAAATGAAAACAGGGAACTAACCATTAGCTCTGATACCTACCAAGAAGAGTTTGAAAGAGCAGTTAATAATAATAAAGATCTCGAAAACAACCTTTCTCAGATTACTCATGAATCTAAGGTAAAGACTGAGGAGATCAAGAAGATCAAGAAACATTATGAGGATAAGCTCAAGGATGTTACTGCTAGTAACAATAAGCTCAGCGAGAGTTATCATAACTACAGGGATAATATTGCTAAGAAAGATGAACAAATAAACCATCTCAAAGATCAGATCTTGAGAGTTCAGACTGAGCTTGAGAAATCACATGGCAATGCCTCTGGTGGTGGTCTTGTGAAAGAAATCAAGAATGAAAATGATACCCTCAGAAATGACATCAAGATTCTTAGGAAGCAACTCATGAAAATTCAAGAGGAATATGAGACAAAAGTAAAGAAAGTTGAAAGAGAAGCTGAAAAAGCTCAGAAAGCAGCAGCCAGCATTGATGAGAAAGAGGTCGAGAACCTTAGAGTTCAATATGACAACCTTCAAATCAAGTTTATTGATGTTGAAAAAGCTGCAGAAGAGGGCTACCAAGAAATTCAAAATTTGAAGAAAGACCTGAAAGATGCCAAAAACACTATTTCTGAAAGGAATAACTCTCTTTCAGAAAAGGAGAACTTGATTCTATCTCTCAAGAAGCAACTTGAGGAACTAAATGTTGATTATGAGACATTAAAATCTTCAAATTTTTCCAAAAGCAGTGAATCTGAAGTTCAGCTGAAGAATCTATCTGAGATGAATAGCAAATTAGAGCTTAAAATCTCAGAACTTGAAAAAGTTAAGTTAATGAAAGACAAAAAGCTCAAAGAGAGTAACCAAGCTTATGAAGAACTTGATACCAAAATGAAGAGCAAAATGGAGTTCCTACATAATGATATTTCCAAGATTAAGAAGGAATCTAGAGAACAAATAGAACAACTAATGAAGGAAGTAGAAGTATCCAAAAAGATCGGCTCTAAACTTACTGACGCTAAGGACCAGATCTCTGAGCTTGAGCGGGTTAATAAAGGATTGAACACAGAGAAAGAAAGTCTAGAAGAGAAAGTTAAAAACTTTATTGCTAAGAATAAAGATATTTTATCAATACTTCAGAAAATTACAAAATGCTATGAGCCTATGAACTCTAACCTTTCGTGACTCAGTTGTTTGGAGGTACTGGAGAGACCATTGATGTTGATATGAGGGCATTCAATTTGCATGAATTGTTTCAACTCTCATAGTGATCCTAAGAGTAAGGACTCTATCGTTTTTTGTGAGGAATGTAAGATAGAGACTAAGAACAAAGAACTAATGGAGAGTAAGGTTATAGAAACACTTGCTTCAAAATTCAAGCAGAGTCAGAAACTTATTACAGAAGGTATTGGACTCATGAAATAACTACATTATAAGCATCACTTCTAATTGGCAGTTTCTATAATCCTCCTTTCTACTTGATTTTAAACTATTTTGTCAATCCTCAACTTTTGCTACTAAAATAGGGGTTTTGGGGTTTTGGGGTTTTGGGGTTTTGGGG